TGCAAGTCACTAACGCCAGCAGCAGAGGGTAACAGAGACCTTCTGTGGTGTGGCATGTGATAGAGCAGCCAACATCATGGTGATGTGCCCCTGTCACCTCATTCTTCACTCTAATGTGTCTCCTTGATGATGCTGTGCTGTAGGCAAGGCTACACTGGGGGTAACCATATCTACTCAGCAATAAATGAGATAACTGCTATTACACCGAGGGGCAGGGGAATAAGTTTGGCACTCAGACCCTTGTTTGATCAGTTTAAATAATAAATATAGACGTGCAGCAGATACAGCCTGAGAAGGTTGTAGTAGACAAGGGTTCARACTCCCTGTAGTGTTGCCATCTGGAGACGTGGGAATGGACATGGATGATAGGGAGGGAGGAGCAGAAGTTGCAGGCCCAGAGTGCCACCCAGGGGCAGGGTCTGTGGTCCAGTCCATCCTCCTCCCCAATCTAAGTTTCCCCCAGGAAAAGAGRCTCACTGGGATCTGAGGAGCTGCTCCCCCAAAACAGAGGGATCTAAACAGCATAAGGGGACTGTCAGGGGCACTGTACTGAGCCACTGAGATCCCTGTTTCAGGACTTCACRATTAATTCTCCCCAGCTTCTGGGGAAGTTGGTCCCCATTCTAGAAAGTGCATAAGTAAAGAAAATTGTTCAGGTCCATACCCATGTCATCACACACTCAACATCCACTGCCCAGTCTAAATAGGAATATAAGCTCCTAGCCTCTTCATTCCGATTCAGACATCTCCAAAGAGCCCTCTCAGCAGGGTCCCTGACTCCTGATCTGAAAGGCACCATCACCCGACTTCTCTGTCTGCTCCATCCCGTACCACGTACCACATCATCTTCTCTCCCATGGGGGTTGGGCAGCACTTTCTAATAAACTCCTTGTATGGTGATTTCTGTATCAAAATTTACTTTCTTGGGAATCCAACCCAGGACAGCATGTTATAAACAAAGAAACAGCTACAAAGAAACAGCTAAGATAATTGAAAGTAAAGGAGAAGAGAGATGGTCAGTGAAGGACCATTTTTCCTTATAAGATGTGTTTAACTGATTTTTTTTCAAGAAGTCATGTGTTTTTATAAAAATTTAAGTATAATAATAAAAGGGGAAAAAGATTTTCACTAGGGAAAACATTAGTATCGTGAGCCAGATTTAATTTCATTTGCATATCTTCAAAACCTAGCTCCAGGGAAGCTATCAATGTACCCAATACTACTTCTTAGTCTTATCGTGTAGGATGCAGACTGCAATATTCCTCCAATCTTCATTTCATATTCTTTCTTAGAGACATGAATGTGCTCACTCACACTCCTCGCCAACACACAGACATTCAACTTCAGGACTTTTGATTCCCTCCTACCACCCTCTATCATACAGACTTGTGAAAAGYGGAGGTCAATAGAAACATTGAAATCAGCAGGAAGAATCACCACAGAATTGATATACAGATCTGAAAGCCAGACATCAACAGAACATGCTCTGATTTATACCATGTCTAAGTCATCCTTCTATCATGGTGGGGGAATTTGATGACTCAACCTGTCACATTTAACTCATGTGCATTTCACAAAACCTATGTAAAAGTGCCCTGATTTTAACTGTCTATCCTGGAGCCAAGGACCGTTAACTTAATAAATAGTTTTAAAAGAAAGTCAACTCTATCAAGGCAATGGCCTGTCAAATAAAGGCTGATGTTCATTTAAAACAGGCCATGGATAAGATCTAGAACTATAGGTCATTCTGGACAAGAAGGCTTATCAAGATTCTTCAGGCTTTTCTATAGCATTAAATAATTGTCAAAATTCCAGCTCTTAGAAACACTGAGATCAATACATATGTGGAGTCAAAGGGACACCGTGACTACTAGCTTCACAACATACACGCTGTTAYTGTCTTCTTGGGAATGGCAATTCACATTCTGCCTCTGAGACTTTCCATCTGTAAAACTGAGCTGTTCATATTAAATAGGGTATCAGTATTCTCCTGTCCCATGAGGAGTGTTGTCATCCTGACATCTTAAAAGACAATACCACCTCATGAAAGATAATTTTAAATGATTGACCTCTCTCCGATGGTTGTCTGGTTGCTTCTTGCTGTATTTTTTGTTTTGTTTTGTATTAAAAAAAAACAACATCTAAAGAATGTTTTAAATGTGATTTAAAGAGAAACACTTGGGAATGGATTAAAACTAGCTCTTTCCCAGGATGGACAAGGTCCATTCAGCAGCATGGTTCCTATATAAAATGAACATGTCATTTCCCACTGATATCCCCATTTCATATAGGCAAGCCTTTGATGCTACTTTTGCATTCTATTTGCATATTGCACGTTTGAATTTAATGAGATTTGGAAAGTCTACKTCTCCTTAAAGTGGTGATGATAATTATATATTGTTTTCATTCTTTTGAAATCACACACACAAAAAAAGTTTTCTTTTTAGTTTTAAATCACAGAAGGGTACACAGTATTTCTCCATATAACATGTGTATATTTATACCGTGTTCACTGGCCAAGCTCCCTGGAGAAGAAGAAAAGAGAATAAAAAGGACATCATTCAATTTAAATACGAAGTAACCTTTCCACAAACAATTGCTGACAGCCAAATCATTATTCTCAGGCAAAACTTTAAATCTACTGTAATTTGACTCACTTGTTAATTAGGAAACATTTATCTACATTTCTTTCATTTTGGGAGTCCATTTAAAAGGAAAAGTACATAATAACTGCATTTGTTAATGATTCACAGCAATCACAAAATCTATCAAAAGGATTTGAACACACACACACACACACACTAAAATAAAAAGCAAACATCCACATGTCTTTTTCCTGTTTGAAGTGGGAAAAAATCCAGTAAAATTCCCTATTTTTAAACTTTTATACAACATCTCTTAAAATATATTCTGCATTTTATTTCAAAAAATGCATTTTATTAAGAAAAAAAGAAGGAATCGATTACAAATCAGGGAATCAAGTCATGGCATACAACGTTCCAATGCATTTTGTTGGCATACAATGTACCAGTGCCATTTGTTGCAGTTTCTAGCAGTGCACACCACAGAGGACTATGTGGCTTCACCATTTATAAACCTGTCCACATTCCAGCGACCGGCAAGGTTAATACTGCTACTAAATAAAACAAACACTCAGAAAAGATTCAGAGCTCTGACGATGGCTGCATTCATCTTTGCATCAAACAAATACCACCATTTCTATATGAGACCCTTCCCTTACCACCACAGTACCTTCAGTTCAAAGGAAAACAAACAAACAAACAAAAGGTATGCCATTTACCAATAGGGGTCCTTCACAAACTACTACGTTAATTCGGGTCCTTAAGATTCAGTCAGGCATTTACAGAAACATCAATATGGATATAGGCTATGAGGAAAGATGGGTGGGTTTCCAAGGAGAATTAACAAAGAAAACATGGAAAATAAGGTGAAGGTCATGGTGAGTTTACAGATTTCCAAATTCATGGTGCACACAAACTAAGGAATCTAATTTCCACTTGGGAGGCACTTGAAGGTGGGAGCAGGAAAAGCAAAGTGCCTTTATTATTTAGTTGGTTTATGGAATTCAAAGACAGTTAGCATCTTGGTTACAGAGCCTCAGAATTAACTCTTGTAACAGTTCTATAAGGTTGTAAGTAATTCTTTGATCTCCTAGTGCATGTATATGCTCTTCTCAGAATGGTCTAGTCAGTGGGTTATATGGATTCTTGTTGAGAAATTAACTGTCACCCTGGATAAGAAGTGACTATATAATGACAGTTAAGCGTTGATCATTCAACACACTCTCCCTGCTTATAGCGAACATTCTTTTATTAGTCTACTGATTGCGCAGAAAAGGGGGCACAGTCACAGCTCAAATGGCAGAAACTGTGTACAGGAGGTCAGCACACAGCAAAATTTATGCTTGAAGGGTTGTATGTGTTAGAAAGGAGAATGTAGCACTAGGCTTCGATTTCTCTTTTCTCTAATAATATTTCATGGAATATAGTCATGGAAGATCAAAGAAACACTGGTGATAAACTTTAGAAAAACACAAAGATAAACGTACAAAAAAAAACGGATATAAGGTTTGGGGAAAATATTCTCAGTAGTATATTTCCTTCGAGGTATTACAGTTGTAATTAAAAAATACTTTTTTGCTGTGTTAATAATTTTTTTATATCAACAAGTTTCATTGAAAACAGTTTACATTCTTTGGGAGATCGGAATTTATCGGGGTCTTAACTACTGTCACCATTAAACAATGACAACAAATTAAATCGAAAATTTCTAAAGGTAACACACCACATTCTGACAACCACTGTTCTTTGAGTCTTTTTACATATGAATTGTATGTTCAGCGTTAAAGTCTGACACTCAAAACTGAATGTATTCAAAATCATTGCCTCAAATAGAAAAAGAGCCATATGGACAAGCAAAGAACAATAAAACATTTTTCAGGACTATCGATGTATTGAATGTAACACAGAGAAAGGCAAAGGGGCTTTATATACTTTTGGCCACTGCAGATGCAAACACCAGCCAAAGAGGATCTTAGAAGCATTTCCAGGTCTAGGAACAACACCACAGGGAGACGAAAGCAAACGCAGCATGTTCTCAAATAAAGCAAGGTCATCACAGTCCGATTTTCTTTGTAATCTCTAATGAAAYTTATGTATTACATAGTTAAGGAGACCAGGGCTACAGTTTCACATTGAAAAACCGTAGTCATGAAGCAAGATAAGCTTGTTTTAGATCATATCAGAACGTTTGAAAATTAACAGCAAGATCTAGGTCCTYGCTACATAGGATGATGGCTACGAGAAGCTTGTCGCTGGAGGAGGTCCCCTGGAGCCATCCAGAGCCCGGACATGGCAAGAGGGTAGTGCTGCAGATCCATCGCCTGTACATTCAGTGTAAGAACAGTTCTTGTCCATGGAGAGCCCCTGGCTATTGGAACAGACCGTCCTAATTATCATGAGATGGCAGCTGCCCATCAATCAGAAGAAGTACTCTTTCTGATTTTCATTGACTGCATTTTGTATGTTAAGTTCGCTTTTCAAAACGGCCTCAGCACTCTCTACGTTCTCTGACCTTTTTGCCTCGTTTCTTTTGTATAACCTTTTCTGCTGATAAATGCGAATGGCTATAGCAGTGATGCAAAGCAAGATAAAGATCACAACCGCTATCAAACCTAGAAAGAGAGGAGAAGAGAAACATAAAGTCASAATTTTTGTCAGGAAAGGAACTGGGTTGATGTCATTGCTTAATAAGTCCTCAGAAAAATTATTTGCTGCTTAAATCAAGCTTCTATTTATATAAATTGGAAATAAGAAAACTTCGGGTATTTCTGATTCCAGCAGTATCACAATATATTGAGTTTACTTCTGAGTTCTGCCAACCTTGTGGGTTCACCTCCATTTCCGAATGCACATCATCTTGGATTCACTTAGTGCATTCGTATTTAACACAAAGTGTAACCTAGATAACTCTTATACCATGTAGCCACTTCCTACGGACAGGTTTTAATTGTTCTAAAATTACAAAATAATAGTAAGTAGAAAAAGAGTCTAAAGTTTTCATAATTAAATGTGTAAGGATGAAGTTATACTGTTGAATAACAGGAGTAGATTATGTATATGAATAATCCTAATAAACACAAATTTGAATATAAGGATACATTTCAATCACTTCCATTGAAGGAATATTGCTTTGAAACTTCTTGTTCTAAGCAAAAAAATTAAGCACTATGATTTTTCACTTATGCTTGTAGTTATCAACCTGGCTTTGCATTAGGTCTGTAGTCCTCAGAGATAAGTCTTGTAATCTTCTGTAGTCCTATGAACCCTGAGGTGGCAGGGGGAGTCCTTAATATACTTAGGGGGAGGGACCCAAAAGGTAAAAAGGCAATCTTAGGATTATTCTGAGATGCCATTTTCACAGTGCTGAAATTTCCACTGATGGTATAAAATGAAACTAGATGGAATCCCTGGTACTTAGTGCAAATGAAGGCATGGATACTCAAGCATAATAATAGTCATTGAATGTATTATGTAGAAGATCTCACGCTGCCAATCAAAAGCCAGATATGTATAAGGATGCTTTAGGTGAAGCAGTAAATGCTGCTCAGTGTACTGAATCTCATCCCTTGACTACAAGTCTTTTTAACATTTTGTGTGTTGAAATGGGAAATCTATACAATGCTCTCCAGGGGTACTCTGAGGATAATGGGCTGTCTCCAGGAAAACACCACACCACGTGGAGGCCTGAGTTGTGATCCGAACAAGCCTCTCTGTGCTGCATGTAACACCACTTTTATTTAAAGAATAACCAACAGGCAAACTCTGGTTGTTCAGGTATGGATAACTGGTGGAAATTTTCTCCCAAATGAAGTTGATCTGTCACTTCCAGAAAGACAAACTCACAGTATACATTGCTAATGATAAAATTCACACTTACAATTAAAAAAATAAATAAAACAGAATTTAGAAAACTCATCCATCACCATGAGTTTCATAGTTCCTTCATATCTAAAGGCTTTTATGATGAGATCAGTGGAGGTATCAACTAATGCAGGTTTTCAGATAAAAATAAGTATATGAAAATAGCAATGCCTATCGAATCTCAAATTGCAAAATTAAGATTCCATTCTAATATAAAGTAGATGTATACTATGCAACTGTAATAGATTCAAGTCATAGATGCAAAGGTTCTTATCAGTCACAATAGACTCCAAAGCAGATTATTTACTAACCAGATTCTCTATGGTAGATCACAATATTGGCAAGCCAATTTTTGGCTAGGTCAACCTCACCTGAGAAAGGTTGCAATTAGTATAATACCAATGGGATAACAGACTTAGGTACATGAAATCTAAAGAGCTTGCTAATGGGTATGACTACTTTTGCTATTACTAATTATATTAGTAAAGAATAATTTTAATCAAAATATCCATTTGTTATTCATAGTTTATGTCTCAGGAAAACAGTGGAGTTGTTACAAATCTGTCTGTGTCTGATTTAAAAGCCTCTGACTTAAGGAGGGAGATTTGAATAATTTCAATGGAATGTGTTACAGAAAGCAGCCCACTACAATTATAGAGTAAATGTCACTATTACATTGGCCCAGATGGGGCATCCAGCCAGTCAAATCAGGGATGATTTTTGAAATGTTTTATCTCCTTTAATCTGGAGTAAGTTTTATGTCAGGTCTTACTGTGCCCAAGAAAAACCTTGATCTCACCTGTTATACTAAATGAAATAAAAAAAAACAATTAAACAAAATATTCTGTATAAAATTCAGCCAACTGCTGTGTTCTATGATGTTGCATCCAAAGATCTGTATGGGACTGTTTTCATGAGGAATCGTAGCTTTCTGTCTGTCTAAACCTTGTCTATCCACATCTAGGTAGCCTGGCCAAACACCCCACACATCTGGGTTACTACCTTAGATGTCTTATTCTCCCATCTTTTACTTATACTCACCTTTGTTTTTTTGTTTGTTTGTTAAATGAAGAGAAGGATCATGTAGGATGTAGAACACAGGGGAATTAGCCAGTTTAGAAAATGCTTAAGTGGATAACTGTAGTTACATAGTGGTTGCAATTTATGATAATAGACAATGGGCAAAAATTGTACGGCAATGGTACAGATGGAATAACACCCTGGAGGAGGATACACTGTGATTTAACAGATAAATTACACATGGTCCAGATGAGGCCTTTGAGCTTAGATGGCCACTACCAGCTGCTCTATTTCTGTAGCTCAGTCCCTGTCCCTGCAAAGTTGAGAGCTGGTTTCATGGACTCTGGAGAACCCTCGAAGGACAACCCTTCTATAATATCTCTCTCTGCCATATGCATATGAGCTAAGTGAGAATTTCACAGGTAAAATGTAATTTATTTTTGCTGTTGGATGACAGTACAATGAATTATAGCACATTTCCTCCTTAACTCTATAATTCTTGTAAATGACCTTTGCCCAAAGCAACAATAATAGTCTAAAGATTGAGCACTTGTTCTAACATTGGCTTGACTCTACCGTGCCCTAGACTTATTTCGGTCATGGTATCTATAGTTACCTATATCTATACTAAATAAATGCATGGAAAGAGTGCTATCATGAGACTGAGATAATTTGCTTGGTGAGGAATCCTATTTTTAAATGTTAGCACATGATAAATCCTATAGCTTTAAGTGAGTTTTTTATTGTAATATATACTACTCTCAGACATACTATTATAACTATTAACTACAAATTATTCTAACTACTACTCAAAAATTTTGGGGGGCTTTTCATATGATCAAATGGGAGTTCTACTCTATGTATCTTTAATTTATACATCATTAAGTTTAGAAAGAGAAAAAGTAATAGAAGTAGCAATGGTCAGAAATACTTGACCAGTATTTTTGCTTCTAAATACAATCCTAACTACTATAAGAAAACTCAAGTCTAGATAGCTAGAGGTGTAAAAATAGATCCAAGTGGATTAAGTATTAGTAAAGCCCAGTGAGTTGCTAAAACATAAGAATAATCACATCATGTGGCTATGCAATAGCATATTTACTTCTGTATGTCCATATCACATTCAGACTGCGGAGAAAAGCTAAACTACTTAACATTTCAATAATCTGATTAATAATATTCTTAAGAGCATTAATCAAGAAGAAAAAAGGTTTATTTTTGGAGTTGGTTCTGAATAAATTATATCTCAGAGAATATGCTGTCACTTTACCAGGGAGATATACTTTAAGAGTTTTTCTGCTAATTCTCTAATTTAAAATTACTAATCACTTCTAGTCCATCAAGCTAGTATGTGATTAAAATGCAACTGGGTGTAATCTTCATCAATAGGAGCGTCTCCATCATGCAAACAGCCCTTCTATCAAGCATGAAGGCAACACTAGATATGTGCTTCTAATGTTGGTTTTCCTACTTTCTACATGAACCTTGGTGGAAACAGTGATATATCTAAAAACCCAAAGAAAAAAGATACTCTCAGATATATTCAGAATCCCGGAGGGCTTACAGTTGGCCATTTTCAAGCTCAATAACATTCATTATTACCATTTTGCAACTGCTCTTTGAGTGTGATGCTTCAGTGAAATTGTCAATTATTTATACTGAAAGTTTCCAAGGAAGCCAAGTGTTTAGGAAGATTCTAAAAGWCAATCCAACACAAACAGTGCCCATCCCATTGCCTTCCTGACATCCTTAGTGATGGGTGTAGGTTATTCCTAGAGAGGGTCTACATAAGTAATGACAGTAAAAACCAAGGAAGGGGCTGGGTTGTGGCCCAGTGGTAGAGTGCTTGCCTAGCATGCACGAAGCACTAGGTTTGATCCTCAGCACCGCATAAATGTAGAATAAAGATATTGTGTCCACYTAAAACTAAAAAATAAATATTAAAAAAAAGAACCAAGGAAGAGCTCATGCACATGTCCCATTACCTCCAATTACTGCAGAGTCACTTTTGATTGCATTAGTGAGGGGTTCTCTGTCATCCTTTGTTCCAGAATGATCTGCAGTTAAAGCACAAAAAAAGGAACAGGGGTCATATTGCTAAGTCAAAGAAACAAAGTTTGAAAATTTCCGTTCATGTATTAAACTAGGTCAGAATGCTAGMGAGGACTGTGGCATCCATGTGAATTTTTAATTTAAACAATGTCAACTGCAACAAATGAGAATATACAAAAGAAATGTGACAGAGAACTGAACATTAAACAAAAAGGCCCTTTCTAGAAACCCATCTTGAAAATATAGCAAAACAACAAAATCAGAAGTTTTCAAAACCCATGGACAAGCTGGGCTTGTGACTGGGTAGTGGGAAAGTCTTAATTCACCTGCAAAGGAATGCGTCCTTTCCCTTGATGTGGCGTCAGTGCCAGCGGGGGCCACACAGCTGGACTCGGTCACATGCCCTGTAATGGTGACAGGGGCCGGGTGGCTGGGGTGCAGAGCAGCCTTCAGAGGGGCCACATGGCTGAGCTGCACTGCAGAGAGGCAGCCCATGAAGCCCTGRGCACCAGCCAGTGCCGTCTCCTGGTCCACATCACTGTGTTCTGTAATGCCAAAGATACACTGGGATATTAACAATAATGAAAAGTGAAAATGGGCAATGACACAGAAAATGAATATTCTGGGTGTTTAATGAAATAGCATTAAATATACAGCTACCAAAATTTCTTTGTCCTCTATCTTTAATAAAAGAATKAGGTCTGTTAAGTCTTTCTACAACTACTGTGGAGATTTCCTAGGTTAATAAAAACCATTTGTAAGTCCGGCTAATTGAGAATGATCCAGCAAATTCTCTGGAAATGATTAAAGGCTCCCTAAGAAGAAGAGGTCAGGTTATGAACTAATGAGAGGTCATAATATTTCAAATTTAAAAACAGATCATTAAAATGTATTTATGAGAGGGCTTGCAGTCAGTGCCGAGAGGTGTCCTGGATTTAGAAATGACTTCTCTTCAGCTTTCGAGATTTAACCCATGGTAATAACAGAGCTAGTGAGAACGCTGGCCCTGGGAGTACCCTTACCAGCTGCTCCGCCTGCCAATGTGGTCCGGTTGGATACTTGCTGATCCCACCCAGACATGCCAGGGGACTGGTACTATTATGTAGTAGGGCCATCCTCCAAAGTGACGGGGATGTCTCCTTAATTAGGTGCAGCCCTGAAAACATTCATACCTCATTGTGCTTTATGTTTTAATGAAAGCCTGTTACTCAGAAATACATTTGTGCCCTCCACAGATAACACCTCCTCCCACATTAAAGAAAGCATTGGACTGCTCTAGAACAGAGATTGGCTTAAATGCCAGAATATTAATTCATAATTTGACAGCTAAGAATATGTCAAAACCAGTTGTTTTGCAAGCATAAAATCTAGACAAAGGGAATTTATTGCAGACTTTACAAAATTATAATATTATCAGACTACCATGTATTCATCCATCCAAAAAGATCACAAAACAGCAGGTTTACTCTCCCTTACCCTGCACATATGTGGACACAGTCAAAATTCACATTTTGTCTTTCTTTAAAAAATAATAATACAATAGATATTAAGTATTTATTAGGTACATATTATGTGCTGGGCACTGTTCTAAGGGATTTGCTATTATGTTATTATTTCAATTTTATAGTAGCCACATGAGTATTTTATTCTGATCATACAGATGTGACACTTGGATCCAGAATGTTAACAMTTTGCCTGTGGTTCTATAGTCACTGGCACTAGGTGCTGGACTCCAGGACTGTTGGGCACCAAACAATAGATTTTTTGGTTTATGATACACTTTATGGTTGCAATATTAATTCCTTCTCTGAGCTTGTATCTTCCACAGTGTCTATCTTCATTTTGTTTTGGGTTTCTTTTTGGCTTGATGCTAGGTTTTTGTTTTGTTTTGTTTTGTTTTGTTTTGTTGTTGTTGTTGTTTTCTGGTACTAGGGATTGAACATAGGGGCACTTAACCACTGAGCCACATCCCCAACACTTTCTTATATTTTATTTAGAGACAGGGTCTTATTGAGYTGCTTAGGGCCTCACTAATTTGCTGAGACTAGTTTCCAACTCACAATCCTCCTGCCTCAACCTCCCAAGCCTCTGGGATTGATGATAGTTTTTAAGTGACCYTGGGGAACTTAACTCAGACTGAACCTATCTTTTCTTATTATATCAAGGTTTTTGAAGAAAAACCATTTTTTATTCACATCTTATAYCTAATGACAAAAATACTGATGGAATGTTTGGTATTGTGAGAGTCATTCTCTGTAAAAAAGGAAACTTAAGATTAGAGCAATTGCATCTCTTTCCTGTGGGGGCTTTAATCATTTCCAGAGAGTTTGCCTTATCCTTCTTAATTAGGCATACTGAAAAATGTGTGGTCATTAACCTGGGAAATCTCAACACCAGTTGTAGAAAGGCTTCAKGTATCTGGCTCTTGTAACAGAGACAGAAGAAGTAGTGATATATGTATTGCTGTTGCATGAACAGACTCAGAACACAGGTATTCAGGCCCCGGTGTTCTAGTTCTGGGGGCCATGTCTGACACCCCTACCTGCAACCACTACAGCTTTCCTATCTCCCTAAATAAGGATAACCCTGAGGGAATGTTACTCTGCCCACCCCCCACACACACACACACACACACACGACTGGGAGCTTTTGAAGCATGTGATTGGCCCTCGATATGCAGCATCTGTGCTGTTTAATAGGGACACCGTGTAGATAGAACCAAAGATATAATAGTCCACCATCACAGAAGCTGCTCATTTGATTGGGTACTCAGTTCACCTTCTGTACGTGTGGGTTCCACATCCACAGATTTGACCAGCCTCAGATCAAAAATATTTGTTTAAAAAACAGTGTCTGTATTAAACCAGCACAGGCCATTATTGTGCATTATTCCCCAAACAATATAGTATAATGAATGTCTACATAGCATTTACACTGTGTTAGGTACCATAAGTAACAGAGAGATGATTTCAAGTACATGGGCGACGTACATAGGTCAAATGCAAATACTATGCCACTGTCTACAAAGGCAACCAAGTATCTGTGGATCCTGATGTCCTCAGGGTCCTGAAACCAACACCCCATCAACGTGAGAGAACAACTGCACATTCAAACTTACATATATTCTAGAGAATGACAGCATTCTTGTTTGGGGAGATTTTTTTTAAAAAACTTAATGAAAAATTTTTAAAAAAAAGAAATATAATAGTAACATAATCAGTATAGCATTTTTCCCATTTCTTCTACAAGGTGCAAATGTTGAATAACGTTTCTAGAGGCTTTTAAAATAATCTTACCTTTTGAGCTGAAAGAAAATGGAAGAGTCAAAATTCATATCCCTTAAAAAATCTGGCATGAGGCATATTTTGAAACATCATATTTACAAACCAAATGCACCTTCCCCACTTAGAAATTATCATGCAAAAACCTAAACCTTTAAAACTTGAAACTTAAAATTTAAAACTTGACAGTGAGCTAGTGTTTACTATTTTCAGACCTAAAGACAGGAAACAAATTCCCTGCAATTCAGGTGTCTTGCATTTTAGGAGAGAGGACAGATAATAAGCATAGAAACAGAAACGCAATGAGAATTTCCAAGAGCGATAATACTGTGAAGAAAATAAACTGGCCCAAGTGATGGAGGGAACCTGGAACAGGAAATTATCTTGATGGATTAGGTTATTTTTCAGTGTGTTTATTTTAGGGATGACTCTTTTCACAGTCCTATTTACCTGGTCCTCTATGGATATTACTACCATACCTTCTGTCTCTATTCTTTCTTTTTCAAAATTTGTAAGATTCCTCGTGATTTTGTCATGTTTATTGGATGGYTCCTAGGTGAGTGTTTGTTCTCCCTGTTCTGCAGAGAACATGGTGAGCTCCTTCACTCTGTACCCACAGTTTTTATTGAGCCTAGCACATTTCATAGACTATGCAAGCAACAATTGTTTTCTCTCCCCTTTTGATCTTTCTAGAGTGACATTTGTTTACATGAAGTCTCCTTTGTACATTTGTACTTTATTTCCCATCCTGATTTCTATCATTTAGGGCTTCTTTTTGTGTGGGTCAAATGCTTTTTACTTATTGATCATAAACATCATTCTTTCCAGTTGAATGTTTTAGTTTGGGGGGAAATCATTTTTTTTTTTTAGTTCCTCTGGTTCTTTCTGTTGCTTTGCTACAATTTTCTTCACTTGCTCTTACTACATTCCATTCATGCTGGTGTGGTCTCCTCCAACAGCTCTACTCTGATATGGATTCTTTCTGGTTGCTTTGCTTTTCCCTCCTCTTTTGTTGATGTTCAATTTGTTTAAGTACAGAGTTTTGTTCTAAATTTACTTGCTGGTGCTCAGTAACTTCCTGCATTATTTGGCTGAAACACAGTGTATTAGGCTTCTCTAGAGGAACAGAATCAACAGGAAGTACAATTATAAAAAGGGGATTTGTTAGGTTGGCTTATGCGACCAGAAGCTGGATGGTCCACAGTGGCTGTCTGCAGGYTGGAGAGCTGAAAGAGCCAGTAGCTGCCCCATCCAAGAGGCTGCAGCCCCARAACAAGAGGGATCAAGGTGCTACCCTAGTCCAAGACTGAAGGTTTCTGGAGAATCACTGAAAGAGTCCACKTTGGAAGAGTGAAATAGCAWGAGTCCAATATCCTCAGATGATCCCAGCAGCAATCAAGAACTCATTCAAGAAGAATTCAGCTAGTATCTGCTGCTTCTTCCTTGCTCTTCCAACTTTTATTCCATCCAAGCCCTCATGCTATTGGATGGTGCTGCCCATGCGTAGGGAGGGTCTCCATTTCAATTGGCTATCCCACCTGCCAATCATTCCTAARTATACCCTCATTGACACACCTATAAGCCTCTTAATCATGGGCTTCTCTTAATCCAATCAGGTTGACAATTCAAATTGACCATTACACACAGAGAACAATGTAGCGGCCTGTGGCCCTGGAACTGCAATGCAGTGGCTTCAGAGCACCTTGGAGTCTTTTCTCCTCACCCAACACTGGAATGGGAAGGACCTGACCCAAATCTCAGCTCATCCTCAGCTYTGTGGGAAACTGAGAAAACTGGCAAATCCGTGTTTTCTGATGCTGATCTTTTACCAAGGGACCCAGGGGTCTCTGTAAAGCAAGCATTCCCCAGGACCCACACAAGTCAAATTCTCTCCCTGAGACTTCTCTAGGCTGGTCCCCAGACACTCCAACCCGGAAAGTAGGGAGACCCAGGACAGCTGTCTCACCGGCACTCTCTAGATTCATCCTYCCTGTTGGGCTGGAGACCATGAGCCTGGTGTTGAGGCCATCAGTGGGTGSAAATAGTACTGACAGTGGAGGAAAACTGCAAGGGACTTAGCCACTATCTTCCCAGAACTGAATCCAACAAAATAAATMGCTATACCCCTAAGTGGCTCAAAAGCAAGGCTGACCCCAGAAATATAGAGCATCGGGGCTGGGGTTGTGGCTCAGTGGTAGACCGCTTGCCTAGCATGCACAAAGCACTGGGTTCGATCCTCAGCACCACATAAATGTAAAATAAAG